TTCTCCCCGCCGAGAGCGCTGCCACCGCCGCCACCGCCGCCGCGCATGCGCTCGCCCCTGCCGTCCCGACCCGGCCAGGCCGCGGACCCCGGGACAACGTTCGCTCCCATCCCCCGGAGCCCACTGACCGCCGGGCCCTCGCCCTGCGCCAGTCCCCGGAGCCCGCTAACCGCGCGACCCAGGCCCTTCCCCTACCGCCGCTCGCCCACGGACTCCGATGTGTCCCTAGACTCCGAGGACTCTGGGGCTAAGTCGCCCGGCATCCTCGGCTACAACATCTGTCCCCGCGGATGGAACGGCAGCCTGAGGCTCAAGCGTGGCAGCCTACCCACGGAGGCCTCCTGCACCACCTAAAGGCTTCCCCGCCCACACCCCATCCCTGCCCCGGGAGAGCCGAGCCAGAAGTGTGGTGGGGCTTGGGACCTCCCAGCACCATGTCCCCAAGGGTCTGGCCTCTTTGATAGCCCCAGAGATAAGGGGTCAGGTGGGGAGAGCTCTGGGCTTGGGGGTGGGGTGGTGATCCAAGCTTGGGTTCTAGCCCTTGCTCTGTCATTCAGTCATTGTGGGAAAGACCCTTCCTCTGCTCCTCAGCTTTCCCATCTGTTTAATAGAGCTTTGGCCAAAGCAATCTCCAAACTTCTAAATTACGCCTTCTATCAGTACACACACACTAGTGCCTTGGAAGAGGCAGGGTGTTGTATGTATGGACCCCTAGACTTGCTGCATTGCAGGGTTCCATACTCTCCCCACCGGCCTCCCTTCCTGGCTCTGATCTCTGGAGTCTGGTAAATGAGGGGTGTGTTCAGAGGATCCTACACCTGAGTTCCTTGTCCAGGCCCTGGCTTGACCATCTGCCTCCCTGGCACCAAGTCCCAGGCAGGAGCAGCTGTTTTCCATCCCTTCCCAGACAAGCTCTATTTTTACCATGGTGACCTTTAGAGAGGGTCTCCCAGGCCAGCTCAAGGTGCCCTGCTGGCTTCTCTGGAGAGAAGAGGAGGGATGATTCCTCCTCTCAGATCCCTCTCAGGCTTTTCTCCATCCCAATTCAGGCTTCCCAGGGTCTCCAGGAATGATGCTATAGGTGTCTCCAACCCATCTATCCCTTCCGGGCCTTTTCATGGCAGGCTCTGGGCTCAAAGCTGAGCCAGGCAGAGAAGAGTTGATACAGAGCTATCTGCTATCCTCTGGCTTTACCTGGTAGCCCTGAGTTTGAGGCTGCCCATTTGGAAAGAGGGAGGCAAAGAGTGCTTTGTTATGGGTGGTATGCAAGCAGTGGCCAGGATGCATAGAGGAGATTCTAGGAGGGAATGGACTGGCTCAGATGACCTCTGGGGGCTCTTCCAGTCCTGAAATACATTCCACAGTATTAGGAAGGGAGGGAGAGTAGTGCTGGAGGATTGGCTGGGGAGATGAGCTTGGGTGGGTGAGTGAGGGGTTAGACCAGAGTCTGCCTGTGTTTCTGGTTCCTTAGGAAGTACTCCACTCTTCAGTTTCAGGCCCCAGCATCCATACTGTGCCCAGATGAGGGGGCCCTGTTCTGCCTCATCTCTTTCCCATCACACTCTGGCCTAGCCAGTGTCTGGTGCCCAGTGACCTTGGGGAGCCTAGCTGCAGGCCCTAGCCTGTCCCTTAGGCTACAGTGACTCTGATTCCAATCCCCAGGAGGGACACAGGGAGGAATATACCTCGGTCCTATAGTTTCCAGAGTTGGCTGCTGGTGCCCTCTAGAGGTTCAGAATATCAGTTTCAGGAAACTAAGTGTGTGGGGGGTGGGGGGCGGGGGGGGGCTGGAATTGGCTGAGGATCAAAGGTATGTATGTAAGTGAAAGGATACCAGGATGTTGCTAAAGATGAGGGACAGAGGGTGATTTTGGGGTTAGGAGGAGACTTACCCATCCCTCAGGGTGATTTAGACCTGGAACCCCTAAGTGAGGCTAGGGCAAGCTGGGGTTAGGATGGGAGTCAGGGTGAGGGTGGGGTGCTTTGGAATAAAGGACTGATCCCAAAGGATTCCCAGGGACTAAAGACTGGGAACATAGGCCCTGTTGGTAGGAAGATGAGAGGGTGCTCCAACTTGTCAGTGATGAGTGATCACATTACTGAAGTCCCCACCTGCTTCAGGGACCCCTGTAGCATGGGAGGCTGGGGCTAAAGGCCTCTTTCAGAGAAAAGACACTATCAGGCCACTGGTTGATGCAGTGGCAGAGAAAATCCACTTCTACCTGCATTTCCCACAAAGAGCCAGCAGGAGGCAGCCTTGGGAAGCTGCAGTTCTGTCTGGCTGTTCTCTCCCTGTAACTGCTTTCTCCCCCAGTCCTCTCCTCTAACCCACTAGAACTTGCCTGTGTCATGCCTTTTGCCTCCTGTAGAATTCAGCTCTGGCCCTCAATAAATGCTTCCTGCATCTTTCTGTCTCCTGTGTCATTTTCAGCTATGTCTAAAGCCCTTCCCTTTTCTCCAACCATGGAACAGTCCATGGGATGCTGGGTGGATGAGAATGTTTGATACACATGGGATGGGAGCTTGGGAAGTAACAATCATGAGCAGAGACGGGGAACAATGAAAACACTCTGGGCCATAGAAGTCCCTGGGTTGAAGTTCTGGTCCTATCATCTACTAGCTGGGTGACCCTGGGTAAACCCACTCCTTCTCCAGGCCTCAGCTTCCCTATCTGTGTAATGAGTGAGTTGGTGAGGTGATGTCTCAAGGTGGTATTGCCCAGGCCCTGACCCCAGGACACTGTCACTGGAGTGGCCAGGGCCAAGCTGCATCAGGGCCCAGTGCTCTGGGGCTGCTTCCTGATGGCAGGTCAGGGCTTCAGACAGGAGGAGGAGCCCCCTACGAGAGGTAACGTCAGAGTCCAGCCAACCCTAGAGAACTCAGGATCCAGACCATCAGGAGTGCTCCTCTCCTGATGGGGGCGTCCTTTGCCCAGAGAAGGGGATTGGGGCCCCACTCCCAGGTGAGGCCAAGATCCCTCACCTTCCTCTCTAAAAGCTCAGGCCCTGCAGAGGCTGGGCAAAGGACTCTGACGGGCAGGAAGCTGAGTTCAGGTGGTCCACAGCGGAGTCCAGGCTTCTTCAGAGATATGCCCTTGGACAGTCTCTCCAGCACACAGGTACAGGAGCTCCCTGCCCTGGACCCGGCGCATCCCTGCTGGTCCCACCCTTCCCTGGTAGTGGTCAGTGCACCTCTGACTCAATCTTTAGCTTCAGCAGGGGCCTCTCCTGGGCACAGTATCCCCCTGCCTACTGGTGATCCTGGTGCCCAGACACGCCAAACCAATTTCACCCCAAACTGAACTCAGTCTCTGCCCCCAACCTCAAGCTGCCCCCATCCCCGCTACTCCTCAACATTATTTTCCTTGAATGATGCAATCCAGAGTGGCCCTTTCCTCACGTCCCACATCCAGCCTCTAACTGGGACCTGGCGATTCCTCAAATACCCCTCAAGCCCCTCTCCTCCTCTCCATGCCCTCTGCCACCTCCCTGGTCCAGCCACTCCCAGGTGTCACCTGACCGCAGTGAAATCCTCCCGCCTGAAGACGAACTCCCGCCAACCCACTTTCCACGGGGCAGCCAGAGATATCTTTGGAACATGACCACGTGACTGCTCCGCTCCACCGCCTTAAACTCCAACAGCCCTTTTATAAGATACACTGTACTTTTGAAAAGCCTGCTGTGATCTGGCCCTTGCCCACCTGTCTGGCCTCATCTCTCAGCACCACCCCAGCCCCCAGTTCTAGCTCTCCTCGCTGGCCCCTTACATCCTATGTGTGACATGGCCTCAGCCTGCAGTGCCCGTGCCCCTCTCTGCCTGTGAGCTCCCACTCAGACTTCAAGGCCCAGCGCAAATGTCTCCTCCTCTGGGAGGCCTTCCCCACCCCCAGGCCGAACTGGTGGCACCCTTCCCTGGCCCTCCCAGAGCATTTCCCGTGATGCGTCGCAAAGGCTGTTTACAGGTCTGACACAGGCCTGGCTGAGCTCCTTGAGGACAGAGCCCTGCCTTATTTATTTTCAGTCCATAGAGAGAGGCTCAGAGAATGTGAGAAGGTGGAGGGAGGGAGGGAGGGAGGGAAGAAGGGAGGAAGGAAGGAAGCAGAGGAAGAGAGGAAAGGAGGAATGAACAAGTCAAGCAAAGTTACTGGGGGACAATTCATTCATTCATCAATCTACCCATTCAATCATTCATTCAACAAATATCTACTGAGTTCCTACCAGGCCCCGATCTAGGCCCTAAGGATACAATTCGCAAGCTCAGGGGACCGGTGACTCACTCGGCGTTTCCAGGTGACTTTGGTGTGTGCATATGTATGTGTACTGTACGTGTGCAAGGCCTTCGGTTTGCAAGGGCCTGCTGCCGGGGCACCTGTCTTCCCTGGGGCCTGGTGCTTTTAGCATCTGTCCCTGGATCCTGTTGCAGCCCGAAATAAGGCTATGAGCCACGACAAGGCAAGGACAACTCTCGTCAGCTGAGGCCAGAGCTGGAGGCAAGGCACACCCAGCTCACTGATGACCGCCTGCACAGACACCGACCACTCAACTCTCAGCTTCCCGACAGAGGTGTTAATCTGAGGGTCTGACACTCCCTCCTGCCCACTGTGGTTCCATCTCTCAGGTACCAGGACTCAAGGGGAGCTCGAGGTGCTGTGGGGGGTGGGCAGTGGGGGGGAGCCAATTCCCAGAGCCCCTTCCCCCAAGCAGAGGAAGGGCCCAAGGGGGTCCGGGGAGGGTGGGGCCTCATGGAAGCCTGGATCCTGAGTAGGAAAGGGAGGGATTCTAAGCTCTGGGTTACTCTGGGTTAAATGGAGAGGGGGTGGCTAGGATTCAAGGTTGGGGTAGTAATGCCTCTGCTCAGGACTGCAAGATCTTTCAGCAATAGAGGGAAGCAGGGTCCCTGTCTATAAAATGAGGGGGGGGTTCCTTCCCAATGTCTGTGAATTTCTGTAAGGAGAGTGTTTGTCAAGAAACAGATCCGGGGACTGTGGAACCCTAAGTGGTCCCAGCTGGAGCACTGCCCACCAGCTCGTGGGCATCACCCCCAAGGCATGCATGTGTGCTCATGTTTGCACGCAGTTTGAGGGGGTCCGTGTATGCCCTGAAGCACATCCATGGATACCCATGATGTAGCCCAGGCTCCTCAGGTTACAGGAGAGCTACTTGCTCCCAGTTACCGAGGGAGTCAGGGACACCGATTAGAATCCAGGCCACCCAGCTCAGCGCCCACTGACCCGGGGCTGGGTATGGGCGTGGGGGGCAAAGATGGAGGCAGATTGTTTTTCTAAAAGAAGAAATATAGATAAACCTGGAAGCCAAGCAGAGGGGCACAAGGGTTGGTAAGGCTGTCAGGAGGCTCAGTGACTTTGCCTTCTCTCCTGGGGGCGAGTTAGGGGATCTGGACTTGGGGCCTGCAGGGCTTCTCTGGGGCTTTGGACCTCATTTTATTTGTAAATCACCTCCAAGATTCCTGGGACACGCCATAAGATGCAAATGGGGGGATGGAGGAAGAGGGAGAGAAGGAGCGAGGAAGAAAAGAACACCATGTAAGTGAGCTGAAGGAGGGGGTAGGAAGGGGGCTGATGGTTGTTTTCAGTGTCCTTGGACCAGCCTGCGCCCTCAAGCCTCAGAGCCGAGTCCTGAGGAGAGAAGGGGTGCACCTCGCAGACCCCAGTGCAGCGTCAGCCTAACCACCCGTGCTCCTCTCCCCCTGACTTCAACCTCCAGCCTCTTTCAGTCTCTGATTAGCGCTCACTTGAGTCAGTGGACAACAACAGTCAGAGACCCTAGCCTCCCCTTCTCCTGATGTCCCAGAAACTACCCCCAATGCGTGTGTGCTTCCCTAACATCAAGGAAGCAGATTTGTGTGACCTCGAGCATCTCCTTTTTCTTCCATGGACCTCAGCCTCCTCTTTCCAGCTCAGACACCCTTGCTTGAGACTTTGGTGTGGGCCAAGGCTGCGCAGGGCCGGGGTTGGGTAGACCAAGGATTGGGAGGTCTGGGGAGGAATGGAGGCAGCCTGGACCATTTGTGGCAGTCTCTCCTCCACAGGATGATTCCCAAGGAGCAGAAGGGGCCGGTAATGACTACCATGGGGGACCTCACTGAACCAGGTAAGGTTGACCCAGCCCTTGAACATTCCTCAGATCCCATGCTTTCTTGCTCCCAGGCTGCAGCCACTCAGGCCTGCTGGCCCCAGGCCTGGGCAAACAGGTGTGAGTTTGAGGCCGGCCTGTGGAATCTGCGACCTGGGCTGGGAAGCTTCCCAAAGCACTGAGAAGGGCCCTGCCCTGATGCCCGCACCCCCAAGAGCTGAGGTTGAGTGCCCTAGACTGGGTCCTGCCCCCACCTAAGTCCTTACCTCAGCCCCAAATGGAGCTCTGAGGGCTCTGGCCCCAGATTCAACCCTAACAATGGCCCAAGCGTCCCACAGATTGCCCCTGCTTGTTTTAACTGGGCTGTCTCCCCGAGCCCCCATGTCAAGAGACAAGGAGTCAGGGGAGAGCGGGGCAGGGGGGCAGGAATAGGCTGCCGGATCTGACTCAAACCATTTCACTTAAAAGCACATTCATCCAATGCATAAATCATCTAAAATACATGATTATCAACTTTATAAGACCTCTTGGCATAATTTTGGAGTCTGTTGATTTGGCCTACTTTGGAGCATTTCAAATATTTTAAAAACAAACTTAGCTAAGTCAGGACTCTCAAACTTCACTGTGAATCGCAGTGACAGGGCGTTGTTAAAAATACAGATTCCCAGCATCAACCCCCAGGAATTCTGATTCAGGGGACCTGGGGAGGAGGCTATACATTAGCCTTTTAGCCAAGTACCCAGGTGATTCTGATGCAGGTGGGAAGTGAACCAAGCTCTGATAAACCCCTGTCTAAGGGCATTGCTGCACTTTTTACCTCCTTCAGCGTTCCAGGAAGTATTTAATCATGTGTATGACCTTATGTGTGAGTCGTACTTTTAACTTGTTTTGTGTGTTCTTGCCTCATTTTGTTGGTGTCATTTTTTTTTATTATTCCATGATTTTCTGTGCTGAAATACACAAGCTTTGTGAGGTACCAATGCTCTAACTAGAAGAATCAGGCAATGCTTTTTTTTTTTCTCTTGTCTAAGTAATTAATTAGTTACAGACCCCCAAATACTGACACACAACATTTACGCCAGACTGGAAATACGTGAATTGTTGACGATTGCTAAGGTATTAATTAAGGACAATTTTGAAACTAAAGAAAAGTAGAAAGGAAAAAATCTCATGGTGTCAACGCCGAAAGATAGCCATCGTAAAATAATAATAAAACACTTACCGTTATTGTGTGCTCACTATGTCTCAGACACTGTGCTAAGAGCATTTATACCTTTTGTTATATATATGACCCTCACAACAACTCTGTAAGTTAGATACGATCACACCCATCTTGCAGATGAGAAAATAGGGGTCAGAGAAGCTAGGAAGTCACATATATAGTAGGTGGTAGAACTGAGATTTGACCCCAGATCTGTCTCCAAAACTGCTCCTTTACCACATGGTTATATAAATAAAACATTCATTTTATAGAATATCAGACAAAGCAGACATGAATGACTTTGAATGTGAAAGTTCCTCGTAACAAAACCATCTGGAGAGAACCACTGTTAACAGTTTTGTGTAAATCCTTCCTCTGTTCATATATAAACGTATTTATATAAACACACACACGGGCTAAATACTATACACTGTGTTCGTCATCTTAAATTTTTTTCACTTAGCGGCACACCACAGACTTCTTTCCATCCTAGTATGACTTATCTCACCCCTCCCCTCCCCTCGCTCCCCCAGCATATAAGATATTATATATATTTATACACACACATCCCCTAAGGGAGGCCATGAAGGCTCAGCCCAGGTTGGGACCCTTAGGAGTAGAGCCTGAGGATTCCCAGACAAGTGACTTGTTGAGCTCGCACTCCTAGGAGAAGGGAAGTGACAAAAGCACAATCCGGCAGAGGAAATTGCTAAGTAAGGATGTGGGCTCCAAAGCATAAATTAATTGCCCTACAAAATTCATCTCATCTTCAGCAAGGGGGCTGTTGCAGCCTCTACTCACCGGGGCAGTTCTCTGTAGAGGTGGCAGTTGTGAGCTGTTAGTCACTGATAAAGGGCATCTGGGCAGCATGCACCGCAAGACTGATTCCCAGTTTTCACAATTCGAAAAGTCACTGCAGTAAACATCCTTGTATGTATATCTTCAGGCATGTTTATTCAACTTTTCTGCCCGAGGACGAATGCCTAGAAGTGGAACTGCTTAGTCAAATAGGTTTTATCTATAGCTTTTCTTTTTTTTTTCTTAATATTGAGCTCAGTTCATCTGAACAGCATTTGAGAATATGATGCCAGGGGACTTTTATTATGTATTTAGGTATAAGTGGTCTTTCATCTGTTTAAGTATGCAGTACATTTTCTTGTTCAAAAACAAAAACAATGCAAGCAATTTCCAGCCCTCCTCCTTCCCAGGTCCCCGGATTGTCACTGCCAATATTTGGCATATCTCCTTGCAGATTTTTCAATGCATACACAAACATGTGCTTATTTTTAAAAATATACGAGTGGGATCTTAGAATACAGATTCTTCTGAAATTTCCTTTTTTCCCCCTTTTAATCTACAGTGGATTTCTTTCTGATCCTAACATGTAGAAGGTGCTGTCTCTATATTTGCTGAAAGAATGAAAGAAACATCAGCCTCCTTTTTTAAAAGGCTGTTTAAGATTCCATTGAATGGGATGAATCACAGCACCTGAATGGCCCTCAGCGTTGCCTGGTGACCACATCACCCATTCCTGACCCATTCACTCTCCCCTACTGTTCTCTGAGATAACTTTAGCAATCTCTCTTCTCAAACCTCCAATACCTCCTCCCCCACCTTCATTCTCAGCTAATGACCTTGCTTCTTATTTCACCGAGAAAAGTAAAGGGGCCAAAAGAGAACTTCTGCAAGCTCCCGCCTCCACATCTGTCCACTTGTTTGCATCTGTGTCCCTGTTCTCGGTTTTCCTTCCTGATACGATAGATGAACCCTCCTTGCACTGTGTGAAGCCAACCCTTCTTGCTGGGCACTGAACACCCTCCCTGCCCTCTCTCCTGCTCAAGACATTCCTTCAGTAATTCTCCCCTCTCTGTATTGCATTGTCAGATTTTCTCATCAGCGAACAAACATGCTATTATTCCTCACTCTTTGAAAACAAGCAAGCAAGCAAGCAAAGCAACAAGCAAGCAAACCACTCTTGCTTCCACAGCTGCCCGCAGCCATGGTCCTTCAGGGCACACCTCCTCAAAGCAGCTGTCTATACTTAACCTCCTCTCTTTCTCTCTTTTTCACATTTTATTAACCAACTTACACACACACACACACACACACACACACACACACACACACGCAAAAGTTGAGAGTGCAGATCCCTGTGGCCCTCCTTTTATTCCTGGGGTCCGGAGCAAATGCCAAAGAGCATGTCATTTCATCCCCCAAATACTTTACAGAAAGTAATAAAAAGGACATTTCCTTACATGCCACAAAGATATTAACACACTGAACAAAATTAAATGTTGATTTAATACTATCTAATAACCAGCCCTATAGTCAACTTTCTCCAATTTTCTAGTTAACGGGGATCCAAATAGCCACTTTTTAACTGAGGTAGCATTGGTTCATATTTAACGTTCTATATTGATAGTTTCACGTGTACAAAATTATGTTTCTACTTCTGTATACACTACAGCGTGCTCAGCACCAAAAATGTAGTTTCCATCTTTCATCATACAGTTGATCCCCTTTACCCATTTCACCCTCCCCTGCGACCCCCATTCCCTCCTGGGAACCACTACCCTGTTCTCTGTACTTACATGTTTGTTGATGCTTGGTTTGGTTTGATCATTTATTTTGGTTTATGTTTGTTTGTTTTTATATTCCACATATAAGTGAAATCATATGGCATTTCTCTGTCTGACTTATTTCATTTAGCATAATAACTGTACCCTCAAGGGCCCTTGTTTTTATTTGGTAGCTATGTCTCTTAAATCTCCTTTAATCTAAAACACTGCCCCCCGCCTCCTTTTTTCCCCATGTCATTCACTCCTTTGAAGACACCGGGCCACCTGCTCTGTAGAACGTCCCACATCCTAGATTTGGTTCATTGCTTCCTTGTGTTGTGTAAAACTGTTCTTCTGTCCTCTTCTCTCGAACCCTGTCCAATAAGGCTTTCACACCCAAATACTCCACAGGAACTCCTTTTGCGGAGATTGCCAATAATGACCCCATGTTACTAAATACAATGGTCAGTTTTCAGCCCTCCTCTTACTTGACATACCAGCAACATTTGACTCCGTTGATCCGTCCATCTTCCCTAATATGCTTTCATCATAGACTGTGGTTCTAGGACACCACAGTCTTCAGATTTCATCCTAACTTGCTGGGTGTTTTCTCCCAGGCTCCAGGGCTGGGGCTCATGTCCTCAGTCTAAATGTCGGAGGTCCCGGGGCTCAGTCTTTGGATCTCTTTATCCATTCTCATATCCTTGGTGATCTCACCTAGGCTCCAGGCTCCAAATACCATTCAGAGAGCTGGAATATGAACCTACGTGTGTCTGACTGTAGAGATGACAAGTCTGCCCGTGCTGCCCATACATATCCCTCTCCTACCAACGTCCTCACCATGCTGACACTCCTTTCTTCCAAAAGTCTTCCCTTGTGGCGCCAACATAAGAGTATGTGTTTTGCTGGTGGGGAAAGCACCAAGGATGTGGATGGGCTACCAAACTACTAAGGACGGTCATCAGCCCTGGAATCCGTCTACATGGCTATAATGACTGGTCCTAACTATGAGAAAAGAAATAAACGGGACAGTCTTCATTAAAAAACAACAACAGCAAATACCACTTGTACTTCCTGATGCCCCAATTTTTATGTCCAGGTCAGTTTTCTCCCATGAATACTAGACTCATATATCCAGCTCCCTACTCGGCATCTCCGCTGGGATGCCTACAAGGCTCTTCAAATGTTATACTCAGTTTTGGAGACAATTAGGGGAGTTTGAATATAGACTAGGCATTATATATTAAAAAAAAAAATTCATTCACTTGGAAAGGTGGAGATCTTAAACCGATAAAAGCAAGTTATAAAGCAGCTATGCTATGATTTCATTTTGGTTAAAAAGTCACATATGAATAGTCAGTGAAAAAGACGGGAAAGGATATACACTAAAGTGTTAGTAGTGGCAACCTCTGGATGGTAGAAAATGGCGTTTTTCTTCTTTTTCTTTTTTTTTGCGGTACGCGGGCCTCTCACTGTCGTGGCCTCTCCCGTTGCGGAGGTTCCGGATGAGCAGGTTCCGGATGCGCAGGTTCCGGATGCGCAGGCCCAGCTCCATGGCTCACGGGCCCAGCCGCTCCGCGGCATGTGAGATCCTCCTGGACCGGGGCACAAACCCGTGTCCCCTGCATCGGCAGGCGGACTCTCAACCACTGCGCCACCAGGGAAGCCCTTCTTTTCTTTTATGTCTATATTTTCTAACTTTCTTCAATGCACATATATGTTTTTATAATAATAAAAGGCTATTTTAACATTAAAAGAAGACATGTCTAGAACAGAATGCCTGGTCTTTCCTCACACCTCCTCCTCCTCCAGCTTCCCATCTCAGAGAGCGGCTACTCCATCCTCCCAGCGGCTCAGGCCAGAAACCTTGCCTTTACCTCCCACAACTCTCTCTCTGTCTCTCACGTCCCACACCCATGGCCTACCTTTAAAAGATACCTAGAATCTGATCATTACTCACTACCTCCACCACTATGGGCAAAGAGCTCCATGGGAAATGCATGGAATAAATATACCTGCCAAAGAACATCTGAAAGGATGCTCAATTTCACTGAGTGTCAAACACATGCTAATTAAACTCAGAGGAGTCATTTCCGCCCATTGGGTGGGCAAAGATTCCTAAGAATAATGACACCCAGGGTCAGCAAGTGTGGGGCAAAATCGGCACTCTCATACACAGCGGATGGTGCTGTGCGGAGGTCCCCTTAGAGGCAGCAACCCGGAGTGCCCTGAGGGTTTGGTAGTAAGAGCTCCCTCTGGCCTCTCTGGGCAGTCCCTTTGCTGGACCTGGGCAAGAAACTGAGCGTGCCCCAGGACTTGATGATGGAAGAGCTATCACTGCGTAACAACCGAGGATCCCTCCTCTTCCAGAAGAGACAGCGCCGCGTGCAGAAATTCACCTTTGAGTTTGCAGCCAGCCCGCGTGCGGTGAGTAAGCCTCCATTGTGTTCACAGGGAAACTGAGGCCCAGAGAGGGCCAATCGTTAGCCTAGAGCCAAACAATGAGCCAGATAGGACTTCTGCCCTCTAAGCGGGGTGGGGGGGGGTCCCTCAAGTTCCAGCCGGGGACGGCTGTGATATTGCCATCAGATTGACCTCTGCCTTGCTAGGTGATCCTAGAAAAGGGTTAGCTCTTTAGGCACCTTTCCTCAGATACAATGCATAAAGTGGATCGGACAGGATGCCCCATGGAGTGAAGGGACTCTGGCTCCTACAAAAAGTGCAGAAGAATAGTCAGGTGCTCTGGGCTGAATTTGCAGCAAGCAGGATTTAGATTAGACTTGAGTTTGATCTAAGATGGAAAATGCAGAATGCTGTCCTCCTTTTCTCACTGGAAGAAGGCAAAGGCCACGAGACAGTCAGCTGGTAGAGAAAGGAGGCAAGAATGGCTTGTCCCCCGGCTTCAAAAAGGTGGCAGGCAGTTTCAGGTACTTCTAATGAACTCAGGGGACTTTCATCCTACTCCACTCAATTTCTGGATGAAACAGGAGATGATGAGAGGGATCGATGTGGCAGAATAATAAAAATGATAAAACACCTACCTTTGCTACGTGCTTATGACGGTACTAGCTAAGCAGTTTGCATGCATCATCTCATTTAATGATCAGAGAGTGATATTATTATCATCATCTCCACTTTACAGAGAAGGAAACTGTGGCTCAGAGAGGTTAAGTATTATATGCCCAGGGTCAATACTATAATAGCAACTAACGTATATAAGAGCACTTCTCTGTTCCAGGGTTTAGCGCTCTACACTATTAACTCATCCTCCCCCCAAAACATCCCTGGGAGGTAGGCTCTAGGATTATGACCTCCCACCACCCCCTGCCTTTTTTTAGTGGAGGGAGAACCTGGCCTCCTGCCCCGCTGAGCCTGCCTGTAGTTTATTTGCCCCTCCCCTCCCCCCAGCTCGTGGCAGGAAGCGCCAAGGAGAAGGTGACTGGAACAGCGGAACCTGGGATGGTGAGTGTGCATAGAGACCCCGAAGTGGCGGAAGCCTGGGGGAAGGGGCCAGGCAGCTCAGATTCCCCGGTCCACCACCGCTGAGCTCCCGCCCCTGTGCCTAGGTTGCCAATAGCTCCGAGGGGCAGAACTACCGCTCTGAGCTCCACATCTTCCCGACCTCAGGACCCGGGGGCCCTGAGGATGCCCAGCCCACAGCCGCCCGGCCAGTGAGTGCCCACAGCCCCAGTGCCCTGGCGCCAGGTAAGTGGCCTGCCCACGTCCCAGGACCAGGGGACTGTAGCGTGGGCAAGCTCCACGGTGGGGCAGGAAGAGTAACCAGAGAGCGTCTAGTCCACCCCCCTCCCCACACACACACACACACACACACACACACACACACACACACACACACACTCACCCCACTCCAAAGACCCAACACAAGGCCAGAGTAGCGCAGCAATGCGCCAAGGTCACAGGGCCAGCCAGGGTCCGAGGCAAGACTAGAGTCTGCGCCCCAGCTTGCAATTCCTCTGCTCCGTCCTCCTTGTTTCCAGGGATGGGGAAGGGTCCTCTTTGCTGGAGCATTAATCATAATGATGCATCCACCATAAAAATACAGAATTGGAACAGAGTGTCCTTGCTAAATGTCCCACCCAACACAGTGTCTGCAGCGGGGCGTGGCGGCAAGGTTAAAAGGAACCCAGGCGTCCTGCTCGTCCGCCTCCCACGTGCCATGCTCCACCCCCTAGGCTATGCAGAGCCACTGAAGGGCGTCCCTCCCGAGAAGTTCAACCACACGGCCATCCCCAAGGGCTACAGCTGCCCATGGCAGGAGTTCGTCAGCTACCAGGACGACCTGGGCGAAGGCGGAAGTCATACCCCCAGCCTGGCGGAGTATCGAAATTTCAACAAGTAAGACGAGGCGGGCTGCTTAGGGAGAGACCTGGAGGGAGGATGCGCTGGCTGCATCTCCTGAGCGCTTTCTACAGGCCGGGCTCTACCCCAATGCCTTATATACATTTATTGAGCCCCTGCTAAAACTCAGTAGAGCTCTTGCCTTAGCACAACTAACTAGTGCTCAATAAATGTACAGGGAATAAATGGGTGAATGTGGCACACACCTTGCTGGATTCTCCTTCACAACAGGGTGGGGCAGGAGCCACAGTTTTTCCTATTCTGCTGGAGAAGAGGATTATTAGCAATCTGCCCAAAATCACAAAGCAAGGAAGCAGTGGCCGGGCTGGGATCCAAGTCTGATTTTGTCTGACTCCAGAGTCCAGTTGCCTATTCTCCATCACTGCTGTGTGCCATCTCCTTGATGGATATCAAGGTGCGAGTCCTTCCCTGGGTGGGGTCCCCAGATCTCACTAGTCCTAGGCCAGCTCAGCGTTTTCCTCACTTTCATCAGTGGTCTGGAAGAGGCCTAGAAAGTGATCTTGAGGCTGTACCACTGTGGGGAGTGGCAGTGAAATGTTGGACACCAGAGGTGAGAGCCACAAAGCAGTGGCTCATAGTGTTTAGCACGTGGGCCCTCGACAAGGGCTTAATGCAGTCTCCACCCCTGGCTGTGTGACCTTGGGCAAGTGGCTTAACCTCGCTGGGCCTCCCTTTCCCCACCTGTAAAATGAGACTGTTATAGTACCTGCTTCATAAGATGGTCGTGAGGATGGCATGAGAGGCCTTAGGCAAAACTTCTGGCAAGTGATAAGCTCTCAATAAATGGTAGCTGCCATTATTATTATTATTATTTACAGGTTGAAATGATGGCTGGAAAAGCTAACAGGGGAGAACTTAAAAGGGATAGATTTAACATCCTGCCCTGGGGGCCTGAAAACAAATCACAGCAGTCAGGACAGGAGCTTGGCAGGAAGGCAGGCTTTGGGCTGGGGGATGCATTTCAACTGCATTTCAATTGGCTTCCTTAGTCTGCTGCTATTTGTGAAAAATGCTCCTCTGGCTTGGGCTGGATTAAGTGAGAAAGTGGAGGGTCCACAGAGAGGAGGCCACAGTCCAGCTCTTCTGGCACCTGCTCAGACCACACATGGAGACTGTGTCTGTCTTGCTAGGCCTGGAGACCAAGCCCTCTGAGGAAGGGCTGAAGGAACTGGGGGTGATGGGCCTTGAGAAGAGACTGCTCAGGAGGGATGTGACTGCCCTCAAACAGCTGAGAGCCAGGGAGGACCATGATGGGAAGAATGGGCCCAACAGGCCTCGTGTGAACCACGAGCCATTGGCAGACATTTTGGGGTTTCCTGCCAGGCAGGACTGTGCTGTCTCTCCTCCTGGGGCCCTCAGACCCTGCCTGTCCAGCTATTTAAAACCCTCAGCTGACATTCAGTGCTAGCAGCCAGCTTCCAGGCTGGTCATTGCAGGTCGCAGCCCCATCCATCTCATGCCTCAGCTCTGACAGGCTGAGGCATGTTCCCACAAAAATAAGGAGGATCTTAGGGACCCCTGAGCCCAGACCCCTCCTGGGACAGAAGAGGCAACTGAGGCAGAGAAAGAAGGAACTGCAGTGTTGGTGGCCAAGCTGTGCTCAGGATCCAGGGCTCTGGGCTCCTGATCAAAGGGCCCAACCGTGAGGCCTGCTTGACTTGGAAACAGCCCAGCCTGTTCCTGCGGGGGTCTGGCTGTTGCCATCACAGCTGTGGTGGTCCAGGCAGAATCACTGTCCTGGCTGGAACCCAGGTTCTGGCCCAAGGTTTGCCTTTTTACCCCAGAGCAGGCATTCCCCTCTCTCCATTGGTCCCAGGATACAGGGAAAACACTAAATGAGCAATGCTTTTTATTCTCTTAAAATTAAAAAATAGTTTGAAAATCACGTATTTATATTATCTTTTAAAAAAACCCCTAGGCGACTTCAAATAAAGGTAGGGCCCCTTTGTTCCCCATGCTCCAATCCCAGCTCCCTTCCCAAAGGTAACACTGTTGTCAGGTTGGTAAGTATGTTTTCAGAACATTCTCTACAAGAGAATATTCTCTACCAGCAGCTACATACCTATGGGGATGTAGCATTGTTTGGTGTGCATGTGTGTGTGCGTTTTGCTACTTTGTATTTCATCCCGTAACTTGCTTGCTTTTTTCACTCAACATTATGCTTTTTCAGTCTCCTCTTTCTAATACCTATGTCTCTTTTCATTCCTTTTAAGTTGCTATATAGTACTCTGCCACGTGAATATACTATATTTATCTTATCCGTTCCTCTGCCAGTGGGCATATGGCTTGTTTCTGGTCTGTCACTAATCGCTGCTCATATCTGCTTCCTTGTGCATACGCTTCCCTAAGCCATATGCTTACAGGTAGAGTTGCTGGTTGACAGAATTTGCACATTTTCAGGTTTAAAAGATCCTGCCAGCCGCATAGCACAGGGAGATCAGCTCAATACGTTGTGACCACCTAGAGGGATGGGATAGGGAGGGTGGGAGGGAGGGAGAAGCAAGAGGGAAGAGATATGGGAACATATGTATATGTATAACTGATTCAGTTTGTTATAAAGCAGAAACTAACTCACAATTGTAAAGCAGTTATACTCCAATAAAGATGTAAAAAAAAAAAAAAAGATCCTGCCAAATTGCCCTCCAAGGTAGCAACACCAATTTACTCTCCAACCAGCAGTATATGAGACTTTGCCCCACCGCCTCACTAACTTTGCTCCATTACCAAATCACTTATTCCTGCCAGTCCTATGGGTGAGAAGTGGCATGTCTCTGTGGTAATCTGTAGTCTCTGATTCTCAGTGTTCTTTCTAATCCTCCTTTCTCTCTCCAGTCTGTGATATATTGTTTTAAGGGGAGATCAAGAGGAGGGAAAAACTCTGTTCCAATTCTATACCCACTCTGGACCTTCCTTAACAGGAACCTAGAGCTTTGCCAGGACAAGCCAGTTCTCACTGAAAACCTCACTCCTATTTCAAAGCAAGAAGCCATCCCCACTAGGGGCAGATTTGAGAATGGGCAGAGCTGGAGAAACCTTTAAAGACAGTATAAAACCTTACTGAGCAGCAGGGAAACTGAGGCCCAGAGAGAGGAGGGGAGGGGGCTGCCCGTGGCGACCCACAGGTCTGTTCCGCCACCCTTTCTCACACTGCCTTCCTCCTCTGCTGCTCTTCTCTCCCCAGGACACCAGTGCCCTTTGGAGGAGCCCTGGTGGGGGAAACCATTCTGAGGGCAGGCACCCCCTTCGTCCCAGAGCTCACCAGTGGCTTGGAACTCCTCCGCCTCAGACCCAGCTTCAACAGGGTGGCCCAGGGCTGGGTCCGCAACCTCCCAGAGTCTGAGGAGCTGTAGCCCCAGCCGCTTCAATTCCCCCATCTCAGAGTTCGGGTAACACCTGGAGCCAAGACTCGTGGACAGCACTTGACAGTTTATGAAGGGCCGTCACACACAAATGGCCTCAAAGGTCACGAAGTTCAGCAGTTCCCAAATGTGGTGTGCTTCAAAATTACCTGGAGGTGTTTTAATACAGATTTCTGGCCTGTCCCAAACCTGCAGCACCAGAATCTCCTGAGTGGAGGTTCCCTATTAGTAACTAGTACTCCCAGCTGATTCCAGGAAAACTCGTCCCCGGTTTGTATCTTTAGGAATCCAAACCACCAATGACTTCACGTCCAAGCCTCCACTCTTTTCCTGCTCCTGTAGTCTAGCTTACACTGCCGCAATGACAGGGAGCTCACTAGCCGCCTATTTACCTGTGAATCACTCTGATAATTAGATTTTCCTTTTACTGAGACGCAGATGGTCTTTATTTATGCTGTTAACATTTACTAAGCACCAACTGTGTGCTAGCCGCTGTGCCAGCTCCAGGGAGAGGGTGTGGTAAGCCCAGGCCCTAGCCTAGGGAGGAAAAGACAGTAGAGAAGACAGATTTGTAAAGCAGGAAGTCATCTTAATTTTCCCTAAAGCACGCTAATTGACAACTGAGGAACAAAGTGCGAGTGAAGCAGAGGAGGGGTTCTCTAACCCTGGGTGTGGGGTGGGATTCTGGGAAGCTTCCCAGAGGATTTGAGTGGGGCCTCAGAGGAGTGACAGTCCATCAAGGGAAGGGGGTGTGATGGGGAGAGTGTGATGGGGAGGGCATTCCTGAAGTTGGGATGGGAGGGCTCCGAGTTATTTCTCTCATTCAACTGCAAAGGTACAGAATTGTGGGGCTTCCCCGGTGGCACAGTGGTTGAGAGTCCGCCTGCCGATGCGGGGGACACGGGTTCGTGCCCCGGTCTGGGAGGCTCCCACATGCCATGGAGCAGCTGGGCCCATCAGCCATGGCCGCTGAGCCTGCACGTCCGGAGCCTGTGCTCCGCAACGGGAGAGGCCACAGCAGTGAGAGGCCTGCGTACCGTTAAAAAAAAAAAGGTACAGAATTGTCATGGGGGCAGGTGTTGTGGAGGAGGGAGATGGCAATGTCAGAGGAGTCAGTGACTCCTCGGGGGGCCAGAGTGGGGTGGGCTGCACTAAGGAGATGGGGAGGTTCTGAGGCTGGAGAGCGAGGGGTCTCAGTGGTTGCTGTGTGCATCACAGACTGGAGAGGAGTACAGCTGGACGCCAGGATCCTTGAAGGAACAAGGCCTGAACTAGGGAGGCGGCCATGGGGTCAGAAAGAAGGGGCAGCGCTCGGCACCTCACAGGACAGGTGCAGAGTAGGGTGCTTACAAGGATGACCCGTTTCCAGCCCCTTCCACTCACCGTTTAGAGCAGGCGCCAGGGTAGATCTTGTCCTAGTCTCCAACAGGATTTTTTCGGCCTGTATGCTGGCTTGTTAGGAAGAGAAGGGAAAGGAGCGCCTCACTGCAGGTGGTGGTGATGATGATGATTATGGCTGTTTTTTATTGGGTGCCTCAGTGCTTGGGCTGGTAGTAGATTCTCTCCATATCCCATTTCTAATTTTCAGTACAACCTTGAGACAAAGGTATTGTCCCGTTTTACAGATGTGGATATCCAGGCTCAAAATGGGGAAGTGACTTGTCCAGGGACAAGTGGGGATCTGTCCGATTCCAGTGGATGTTTCTTATCACCCCACTGGGCGGCCAAGCCCATTCACTCTGGAATCACCTAGTCATGGTGCCCTGCTTTAGAGTTTAGAGGTTAAGAGCACAGGCTGGGGGTCAGACTGGATGGGGTGGGTTCTAATGCCACCACTGGCTGTGTGGACTCAAGTCATTTCTCGCCTGTGGGCCTCTAATTCTCTACCTGTAAGATGAGGATGAGAGTGGAAGCCCCTGCATAGAGTTTTGTGGGCATAGTGATGGACACATACCTAATAAGCACTCAATCATTATCAGATTCCATGCAGCTACTACTCTTGGCTGGTAAGATGTTCCTGCAGTGAGTGCAACCTTGAGAAGCAGGCTCATGGAAATGTCACTGGGGTCAGTAAAGCTGAAACCTGAAGGAAAGCCTCTGATCACTGTAGGGCTCTGTTGGACATGGCTCACCTCCTTCCCCGCTGCTTCCCTCTGTCTCCGCCCTGACGCCCTCTCCTGGAAAGATGAGAAGGCTGGGAATCTAGCTGGTTCCCAGGTGCACAGGATAGTGGTTGTATTTTCCTTTTGCTCTGGAGTTTCACTCTGCCCCACACAGTTTCAAGGGGCCAACAGCTGACTCAGATTTGCTTGCAGTTGTGTTGGCTTGAATTTGGGGGCTTCCATTTAAAGTCATGTTTCCAAGAGCTGAAAGCCAACCATTAAAGTGTCTGAAACACAGAAGAGAGGATTTGGTCTGCCTTGGGTTGGTTCTGCTGTGCTCTGAGGGTAATGGCAGCCACCAGGGACAGAAGAGGAGAGACTGGTAGGGAGCCTGCTGCGCCCCAAAGTAAATTCTCATTCCTTCCTTATTCTGATGTGACTTTTGCTGATGTTGTTTAAAAAAAAAAAAAAAGCCTACTGTAAAAATAAATAAATAAATGAAGGAGTAAAATGTGAAGGTATCTGCCCACATAGCTCCTCCCATGCACATACATAAACTTTCCCACTCTCCTGCATTCTGCCCCGTTCCCATATACCAGAGGTAACCAGTGGTAATAGTTTGGTTGCTCTAGAATTCTAGACTTATTTGAATAAATATTTACATGTATATAGATGCATAAATACAAAGATATATCTTTCTTTTAATGGGATCATACAGTGTTTGTTGTTCTGTATTTTGCTTCTTCATTCAACAAGTCAAATTTCGATCCTGAAAAAGCAGGTCATTAACCTTTCATGTAATTTGGGGGCCTAGTAGGCCCTTCATATAAACTCTATGCTTTGGCCTGTTTTTGTTCTTTACATGAATGAAATCAGACCGTGACATGGAAATGAAAAGGGCTGAGAATAGCCCAAACGTTGGGAAACCTGACAACAGACATGGCAGCAGTGAACATGAATGAACTACAGTTACATACAACAATATGGATGCATCTCAGAAACAAAATGGTGAGCAAAGGCAGGCACATATACAAACATATGTTTACTGATGCAAGGAGGTGTTGAATATAAAAGTCAGGATGGTGGTACTTTGGAGGAAGAAAGGTTTCTGATTGTGAAGGGACATAAAATGCTTCTGGGGAAAGCTGGACTATTTCTAGATCTACGTGATTGTTACACAGATATTCACTTTAAAATATTTAATTTAGTTGTGCTTCTGTGTTTATGCACTTTTTCTGTACATGAGTTACATTTTACGAAGACAATCCCTCCTTTTAAAAAAGTTAATGGGGGACTTCCCTGGTGGCACAGTGGTTAAGAATCCGCCTGCCAATGCAGGGGACACAGGTTCGATCCCTGGTCCGGGAAGACCCAACATGCCACGGAGCAACTAAGCCCATGTGCCACAACTACTGAGACTGCACTCTAGAGCTTGCGAGCCACAACTGCTGAGCCCACGTGCCACAACTGCTGAGGCCCACGTGCTTGGAGCCTGTGCTCCGCAACAAGAGTAGCCACCGCAATGAGAAGTCCGTGCACTGCAATGAAGAGTAGCCCCCGCTTGCCGCAACTAGCCCCACACACAGCAACAGACCCAATGCAGCCAAAAATAAATAAATTTATTTTTAAAAAAGTATACAAATAACAAATGCTGGAGAGGGTGTGGAGAAAAGGGAACCCTCCTACACTATTGGTGGGAATATAAGTTGGTGCAGTCACTGTGGAGAACATTATGGAGGTTCCTCAGAAAACTAAAACTAGAGTTACTGTATGATCCAGCAATCCCACTCCTGAGCATATATCTGGACAGAACTGTAATTCAAAAAGATACATGCACCCCAATGTTCACAGCAGCTCTATTCACAACAGCCAAGACATGGGAACAACCTAAATGCCCACTGACAGATGAATGGATAAAGAAGATGTGGTACATACATACAATGGAATATTACTCAGCCCTAAGAGTGAAATGCCATGTGCAGCAATATGGATGCAACTAGAGATTATCATACTAAGTGAAGTAAGTCAGAAAGACAAATACTGTATGATATCACTTGTATGTGGAATCTAAAATATGACACAAATGAACTTATCTACGAAACAAACAGACTCACAGACGTAGAGAATAGACTTGTAGTTACCAAGGTGGGGGGCAGGGAGAGATGGACTGGGAGCTTGGGGTTAGTGGATGTAAACTATTACATATAGAATGGATAAATAACAAGGTCCTACTGTATAGCACAGGGAACTATATTCAATATCCTGGGATAAACCATAATGGAAAAGAATATAAAAAAGAATGTATATATGTATATAACTGAGTCACTTTGCTGTACATCAGAAATTAACACATTATAAATCAACTATACTTGAATAAAAATAAATTTAAAGAATCACCATTACTCAGTACAAAAATGGATTTCTGCTTTTTTTTTTTGTGATCAGATCTGATTACATCTTTTATGAGAGTAACACTAGCTGCTGTTACAGACAGATCCCCAAGTCTCAATGGCTTACTGTAACAAAAATTCCTCTTATCACAATGCTCTCCTTGAAGCAGTGATAAAGCAACCCAGGATCCTTCCATTGTGTGACTCTGCCATCTTCCAGGGATCATCCTCCTGTGCATTCAGCCAGCAGATGGGGAAAGAGCTCATAGGACTGGGTGGGTGAGATGTTTTTTACCGAGGTCTGGGAATGGCGAAGTTTACTTTTTGCCAAGTGTACCCCTGGCTGTATGCCCTAGAGAAGGAAATGGAGTTTGGTAAGCACCTAAGAGTTTTTGCCAAAACCTAACTGCTCATAATTCTGATTTCCATAAGAAAGACTAATCAAGCATCTATTCTACACTTCAATTTATGTTGGTTTATGCTTTAAAAACAAATACACATCCACAGCCAGGTAAGTGCACAAAATTTAGAAT